TAGGGGGTAGTAGCCACATTTTATGCAGGAAAGAAGAGAGTATGTAGTAAAGAGGCTGTGAGGAGGGCACAAGCCTTTATAGTCATTCATCTCCTGGGAATACGCATGCAGAACCAGGCCCCCAGGGAAGACCCATTGACTCGAGTCTCAGTGGGTGCTGGGGTGTGTGGTTGCAGAATTAGTCCTGCAAAGAGGGAGGAATTTAAAGTGTGTGGAGCACTCCAGTGCTGGCCAAAGGCAGGACAATGACTCTCTCTCCTGCTACACACTCAGAGCCAGGTCTGGAGAAAGACTTGCCCCTAATCCCTTGCTCCCAGAGACAGAGGCATTCTCCCTGCCTCTTTTCTTTGCCATCAAAACAGTTCCAGGAGCAGGACTGAGACCATGCCTCTTTGCTTTCTGTTGAACAGCAGCAGCTTCAAGGGCTTACTTTATGATGAAGATCACCCCTGCCTGCATTTAAGGCCAAGCTGCTTGTGAGCAATTGCCAATGTTTTGCTGGTTATGAGCAATGATTTGTGCCATCTTAGAATCATAGAGAAACAGGGCTAGACGGCACCTCAAGAGGTCATCTAGTCCAACCCCCTCGTAGGAGCTCAAATCAGCAGAGTCAGACAAACGGTTTCCCCCCGCCACAATGCTGCCATTTTTAGCACTTCTCTGAACATAGTCCAATCCAACCCATAGGCTTCTATATGCTTTCTGTGTTTTTTTTTCTTTTTCCCCAGTCACTATCTATTTAATAGCACATGGGAACCATCAAAAACCTCACTAGCTTATGATGCACTAAGTACATTTTTATAGCCAGTTTAATGCTAACGATCTGCAATTACTGCTGGAAATCATCATAAAAAGGGATAAAAAGGCAGATAATTTGTGTTTGAGTTCCTCTCCAGCCCAGTCTCAAAATGGAAGTGCACTGGAGCAGTTTTAAAGGGGCTGGATGTTAATTCCTTGTTCAAGGTCAGAAGGGACCCTGGGCATGTTCTCTATGCCGATGCTTATGTGACTCGTGTTCATCAAATATATGGGGAGTATCATGGCGTGAATGATTTTTCAGAGCCTGGAATTTGCATCGTACAGTCAAAGCACTTAATTGGGATGTCTTCCTAATATTGCCATGGAGAGCTCATTCTTGAGTGCTGATATTGCCATTAAATGAATTAGAAGCTAATCAGCCTATCTCCTTCCTGTGCTTAGACAACTGCTCTGGAGAAAACAATTAGGGAGACTGAACTACAAGTAACAAAGCTCCAGAATGGGTCTACTGAGAATTCTTTCCCAGTATTTTTCAACAACAACAATAATAATAAAAATAATAATAATTATTATTATTATGATGCTCCATCCTGTAGACACTATTGAGTGCCATTCTAACAGCAGTGAGGCCAGTGGGATTATTCCAGGATTGTGAGCTGTGTGGTGAGCAGATAATGTCTGTGGGATAGCGGTCAACATAGCTGAAATTTGCTCCTCAGCCAATTCTTAAGGAAATTTATGCTGAACATTTAAATCTTCCAGGAGGTGGTGGAGTATCAAGCATGCACACTCCCCAATCCACTCCCCCAACCTGCTACCCAGGCATCCAGGGCAAATTAGAAGCCTTGTGAAATTTTGTGCTTGGACCTCTGTACACCCCCTTTTTTTCCCTCAGAAGGGTCAATGCCAACCCACACCTATCTCTACCCACATCAACTTCATGACCAAGCGTCTCGTCGTGAACAATGAGTTTTATCATTGTGATGTCCGTGTGAGGTTGATTATTTATCCTCATTTTGCAGGTGGGGGGGGTTGATGTCTCTGGTGATTTGAGTGGACTAATGTCACTTGGGGATCCTGTGGCAGAGATGAGTTGGCCTTACGAGCCCGAGTCCCAGTCTAAGAAATCTACCCGCCAGACCATGCTTCCTATCCTACTTGGGGAAGTAAGTGTTTGCTAGTAATGACTTACTCAAAGTCACATAGGAAATAGTGACAAGGGCTAGACCTCAATCTTTTGCTTTAATCCTTAGGAGGTTGCTGCCTGCCTAATGGTGGGAGTGTGCAAGAGGGGAAGCAAGCATAGTTCAAGCATCCTTAAGAAAATAAAATGCATATAGAAGCAGATTTAGCATCCTTTTACCCTAGATCCCTCAGACTCTTAGAGGCAGCCAAGGGCAACATAGAGTCAATGGCAACACCATTTTTAAATACAGTGGCCAAGCCAGCAATTGAAGCCTGCTTTCCATTGGGTGGATCATTCTCTTACAATTACGTATTTATGCACATTAGGTGCATAAATGATACAAGCCAGGAGTCTTAGCTCTTACCACTCAGCTACCCTCCTGAACTCTTCATACGACGTTAGAAGTCCTACAACAAGAGCTGACAGCAAACATTTCCACCAAAAAATAAGTTTAACCCCAACGTCTATAGTTAGCCTTCCACAACAGTCCCCCAGGTTCACTGTCATACCAGCTTTGTGGTGCTCAAGGGACATGAAGCAAATTTTAAATCCATCTTTTCTGCCCAGGATAGTAAAGGTGGGTCCAGAATAATGGCTAGTAGAACAGGTCTAATCTCCAGGATGGGGGTGGGTGACTTGGGACAACAGGGTGTTGGTAGATACCTGCTATAGGTATCTACCTGATCTGTGGCTTCCATGGCTCCACCTAGGATGTATGGAGAGTAGACTGAAGATACAACAGGTCTGGAGAATATGAATGCATGCTGGGAAGACATGGAGAGATTCTGAGTGGCAGGACTCAATGCAGATAAAGCAGCACCTGCTGAGATGTATGAAGTGCCGGCTCTCTAAAAATATAGAGAACCTGATTAGTTAATTATTGCAATCCTGTTCTGTTCCATCTTGGGAGGAAGCAAGTAGTGAATATGGCCTGCTCATTAAAATTTAAAAATATTCTTCTCTGGTGCATCTGGCACAAGGTGTGAAAAATAGCACCCTGTCCTATATCAGCAAAAAAAAGGGTCCATTTAAGACACTGATACAAACTGCCTTTCCTCCACTCAGCCTTTCATCATGGCTGAAAAGTGATGCCACACAATATTGGTTTGCTTTCTTAACACTCTCAGGATTGTTGCTGCCATTTCAGACAGCGTGCAAATACCTTTGTCAAAACTTTTCATTTTCCATCCTTTTAAACAAAGTGATCCCGGAGTGCGACTGTTCACAGAGCTGTTGATGAATGCTTTGAGATTACATTTTATTTACAAGGTTAACACTTCTGCTACCTTCTGTTTCTTTTCTTCTTCTCAAACCTTTTTTTATTTGTTCATTTTATCATGGACATGGGCATGAAAACAAGATGCATGTTACAGCCCGAGAATATGGACCGGGTGTAGGTCAATTTTATTTCTTTGTTGCTTTAATTTTTACAGGCCTGGAAGCATTCAGTCAAATGCAAGGTGACGAAGTTCTGGCTCCAAAATGTCTCTTAAAAGAACAAAATTTTAAAGATTGCTCACATATATCTCAATGAGCTGCAGTTCTGCCTTTAGATACTTGCATGGTCCCCATCATGGCAGCATCCAGCTACCCCCGACTACTGGAGTTCAATGCAGCTATCCTCACCGCAACTTTATGAGCATGGGAAATACTGGGGACAGAGGTACATTGAGATTAAGCAACTTGTCCACAGCCACACATCATGTCCATAGCAGAGGAAGGAGTCACACCTGGAGCTCCCAGGCTTCCCAGCCACTGGGATGGGCTTCCCAGCAAAGCCCCGAGTTGGATTTCATATCCCACAGGGATCCCATGAAGAATGGAGACTGTGTAGGAGATTGCTGTATTCTGAACTACCCGGAGGTATTTCAGAGCGAGATGCTTCCCTTGCTCCTAAAATCATTCCAGATCAGAGCAACATGTCTGGAAGACAGTCAGAGCTGGTTAGACCATCCTGCTGTTGTTAGAAGATAACCTTTCCTCCTTCTGTTTAAACAAATGAGGTTTAATTATCTGAAAGAAATGTAAATGTCTTTTAAATGTCTCCAGCTTTGCAAATCTCTTTGGGTCCCCAGAGTTAGCAGTCCACTTTGTCTAATAATGTATCAAATAGTCACCTGTCTCCAGATGTGGCTATAGTAAATGATAAACCTGAGTCAGAGCAGCAGAGCTAGAGTGAGGCATTGCCAGATACTCTCTTGCCTGGTACGTTTGGAAAGAACACCCTCAAATAAAGAGAGCCAAGGACACCAAAGGTCACCAGTATGTTTGGGGGAGGTTATTCTTTCATGTTCCTTTACGAAAGCAAATTTCCCGATGATTTCCTTAATCACATTTCCAAACCATTTGATGTTCCTTTATTATATGTCAAATGGATACAGCTCCACCTAACAATGAGCTCTTCCTAGAGGTCTATATTTTTAAACTGCACCCATCGTTCTGGTATTTGAGCAATTTGCACCGAGATCTGATGGGTTAAGCTTGCATGGGGTGTGTCTACATGAGACATTTACTGTGCAGTTGACTAATTAACTGCACAGTAAATGTCACAGCATCAACACGTGTGCCCCTATTAGGGCGCATGAAACTAATAAACTCCAAAGCAGGGTAGTACTTGTACTGAAGACTTCTGCTGAGGAGTCTTTTTCTGTGCAGCAGCACATGTGTAGATGCTGACCCAGCCAGCTGGGCACAAAGGTGCTTCAGCGCTGGGGCCCTCATGTCCCAGCCAGCCCCTCTGCAGCATATTAGGCGTTTATACACGTGCTCTGGGAGTGGGGGGGTGAGGCATGCTCCAAGAGCCACTCTAATTACCTGGAGCATCTTGTGTATCAGCGTCCCTGTGCTGAAAAATGGCAGCAGAGTTTTAACTAAAGCTCATTGATTGCTCACTAACACCATTTTTCAATGCAGGGATGCTGATACATGGGATGCTGGGGTCTGCTGGAGCACAGTAATTACCATGCTCTAGCAGACTGGATGAAATCAAGCCTCCTCCAACATGGTGTAATTATGCCTGCTCATGTCTATGGCTGCTCCAGGCCACAGACCCTGGCTGGAACAGCCTCAGGGTTGCTACGACCTGGCTCAATGTGCTGTGCTCTGGGCACAAATGCAAACTGCGCACCTGGGAGCTTTCCAGGAGCAATAAAAATAATCAGATCTTACATGGTTTAAGTCACTGCTCTGAGTTTACCAGGGCTAATTCAGATGCTGGGCTTCACCCAAAGGCTGTTTCTGGGTGGTGGAGGGAGCGGTAAGCGTTTCCCAGCCTTCTAAATCCAGAGACTCAGTTTAGTCCTGTGCTGCCAAAGGAAAAAAAAACAAACATTGAATTGGTGAAGATAACTTTAAAATTTCATCCGAGGCTTCCCAGGAACCCTCCCCAAAGATCTTTTTGGAGCGACAAGCTGAATCAGTGCATGCACCTGCCTCTCCTGGCTTTCACCAGCCCCTCTTTCCCAGCTATCACCACCTTACTGTTCAGATTACGATTGGCAGCTATGAGACTGAGCACGGATATGGATGTTGCAAAGGGAGGGGCCTTAATTCCCCGATGACACCAGCAGGAAGTGGCATAGCCTAGAGCTGAATTCAATCCAGATTATATTTCACTGCTGTTCACAGATGGCTATGCCTCATTGTCACTGGGAATGATGGGAATTGGGCATTCCCTGGTAAGAAGGAACTAGCCCACGTATAGCCAGATTTACCTTCCCAGAAATCACAAACCCCTGTCTTCATTCATCACACCCTTATTAACGATTATGAAAATGCATTGAAAAAATTAAAAGACTGAGATGAGATCCTCCAAATTTAAGCCCTACACAATTCATTGCTTATTTTGAGGACAGACATATTTCCAATATGCGGGTTGTTATGCTCTCTGCACTGTCTTACGTGTTTCGGTTTCCTCCTTAATTTCACCTCTGGAGTAAGAGCAGCGTATACGGAGATGGTTTAAAATTAGTATGTGCTGGGTCTGTGTCAACCTTAACTGCTGTTCATATATTTCATATTCAGTTCTTGCTCTAATACTCCAACTGGTGGAATGATTACATTAACACGATGAATTGATTCTGCCTAACCCATAAGAAATGAACTGCAGAAAACTAGAATAAAACCTAGCGAGTAAAAAGTCATCCCTCAGAACTGAATAGGATTTCTTCTAATATGGAATATACAGGGCTGCAATGGAGGGAGTGCATCCTCTCAACACTATGGGTTTGAATCCCAGCTCTTCCACCGATCTGTTGCAAGACCTCAAGCGAAAGTTGCATGAGGCCTAATCCAAAAAGAACGGAGACTTAAAGAGATTAAAGGCTGCTGCTTCCCTGTTGCCTAGCATGAAATGCATCTGCTGAAGTGTTCACATCAAATATCACATTGCCAAATTAAATTTGCCCCTGGGATCAGATTTGCCCCTTGGTTACTGATCTCAACAGAACAGACAAGGATGTGTGGACCAGAGCTCAGCTGTCACTTAGGGTGTGAAGGATGACCCATGTAGACTGGTGCGACTGGAATTACACTAAAAGTGGCAAACAGGCAATGCAAACCCCTGACGGATAACTCTGTCTGATCCAGTAGACAATTACTCCCAAGCAGGGTCGAACTCCACCTGTGCATATTGCACCGGGTTTTGGTGTTGTCTCTCCATAATCACACCAGGCTATTACTTGCCTGTCTCACGCTGCCCAGTGACGAGGATATTGTAATAGTGCCTACTAGGAGAGCTACTCTGGTCTGCCCTGCCGGACGATAGGTTTTTAAACCCGAAAGCTTGCTAAAATTTTTTCCCCACAACTATTTAAGTTGGTCTAATAAAAGATATCAGATTCACCCAAAGAACCACGTCTGCCTGGGTCCCAGTGTGCTTAATATCAGTACACACAAGAAAACCCCATGAAGGAGTCTAGAGAACGTGCTTAGGCAGCAAGATGAGCATCCAGATGTTTTTGCTGAGTGCCGAGTTCTTTAAAACTCTCGTGTCCATAAATGGGAGTGGAGCTATAATTCGGACAATCTGATCTCACCTAGGCACAGAGAATGAGCTAAATTCTCCCTTTCACAGGCTCGTGGGTCAGGAGGCCTGCACTGTCGCTGGCTGCTGCATATATCTTTTACAAACAAAAAGAGGCTTGTCCAGCCAGAGCTTCTCATGAGGTCTGAAATGACAGACATGTAAATATAGACCCCAAAATATGTAATGAGAAGCACTGATGGGAAAGGATCATGGTAGTTTCCCTTAAATTTGAGGAAACCCTATTTTTCTTGCTGGAATCCAGACGACTTCACAAGACGTTCCCTTCTTCTGACAATTACAGAAGTGAAAGGAGCTGAATCTAAGCTTACCGCTGATCACATGCTGCCCTCTGCTCTCTGCTGGCCCTCGTTTGGATTAAGACATTGGGCTCCTGCATTGTCCGAGAAGGACATGAGCTACTGATTCAGTCTTTCCTGATGAATCCTATCCAGTGAGGATTTTTAAATCATGCAAAGCGCACTTTCTGGCAGAGCAAGAGAGGGGCTGTTGATACTGCCATTTTCTGCCTTAGGTTTTGTCGTAACTGTTTCATTATTTAACTTATCTTAAGCGAGAGGTGGAGGCGAGGGGCGGGGATGCTCAGCTGACTGACAGGACGGCCTTGCATTGGTTAAGTCACAATTTCAGGCACTAATTAGTAGCGACTGTTAGCTGTTCCCAGCTATTAGCTCTTCGGTGGCCTATTAAAATGATTTGTCATCTCAGGGTCTAATCCAGAGTCCGTGAGAGCCCACCTTTGGATCAGTGTTGCTCCTAGAAGACAAAAGCCCTAATTTGCCACCATGGTTACCACTCAATGACATCATTAATCGGCAACATCATGAGAGAGGCCAAGAATTGAGTAGACAATGGGAAATGAATCATTGTTACAGTTGCCTTCAGCGACACCGAGGTATTAGCTTTGCAATGTTGGCATAAAAGATTATTCTTTGAAAAGAGAACAAAACCAATATACCCTGGACAGAAGCAGTACAATCTTCCCCATCGTGCCCTGTCAACACGCACTGTAGAGGGAACATGTCAGAGGAAATGTTGATCTTTCTTTGCGTTTTAGCCTTCTTTATTCAGCTTCCCAACACAGGAGAGGCTGTGCTACCTGGGGGGAGGCCAGGACAGGGCTAGGATGAGACCAGTCACCTGGTTCATGGAAGCTGCTCTAAGAGCTACTGCATGGAAAAGATCTTTAATTACTCCTGACCTGAGATGAATTGGATTTAGGCCCCGATTTAGAGATGAAGAAGCTTCGTATCTCTTACCAATTTCCTATAACGTCCCAGTTTCCAATGGGGAGTTTTTAATTTTGCCCTATTTTGTTTTTCTATTTGTTATTTTCATTATAGAAATGCAGAGCAAACATCGCGTCTCCTAGGAGCCAAATGAAGAGCTGCAAATGAAGATGTATGCAGATAATAGGCCAGCAATAAAGGAAATGAAGAAAATAATTTATCCAGTAAGATAGAGATGCTCAACTTGTTTGACTCCAGCAAAAGCTCAAATTGTAATTTATGTCTGTAACAAAAAAAAACAGCAGGTGTAAATCAGGAAGGAAAACTTCCAGCCAGACAATGTCAACCCCAGTGCTTTGTTCAGTGGCTAATTGAGTTACACACTGTGATGGGCTGAAGGTGGCATTTGACTATTTATTGGTGTAGGTACAGATTAAGTCTTTGATTCAATGTTGAAGCTCAAGTTTCAGGGTTTGAAGGTGCCAAAATCTTGTCACTTTTTTTTGTATGGGATCAGCCACTGACCAGAGGTCCACGGTCTTCACCCATGTGCAGAAGGCACCTGGAACTTTATCTGTTCCTTACGTAAAACAACAGAGATCATTTTTGGATATAGGAAGCTAAATTAAGAACATTCAAATCCAAATCAACTCTAAATAGAAATAATGCCTAAATATTTTAACATGAGGGTGATAAACTGTTGGGTAAAAAACCCCAAACAAACCCCATCAGTGCAAGTGGAAAGTTTTCCATCTCCTGAAGTCCTTGCATAAGGACAGGATGCCTTTTTGGTAGACATGCTCTGGCCAAGACCAGTTACTGGGGTTCAAGACAGGAGCAACAGGACGCGATTGTGTGGCCTGTTTTCTACATAAGTCAAGTTATCATGAGCTAGTGCTTCCTTTTCTATGAATTTATGTTCCATGTATTTCAGGTACTGAATGGGGTGGCAGGTTTTTGTATCTTTCCCACTTTTCAACAATACAATTCCCATAAAGAAACCACATGTGTATTGCTGGGTCCAAATACCATACCCCATGTTCACTAAATAGACATGACCATACAAAACCAACCTGCATACAGGCTACTGTGCTGGCAATGTAGTGTTCAGAAATCCCTCTGGGCTCAAGTCCTTGGGAAGAGATTCTTCCTCACCCAGTCACGAAGTCTGAGCTGCTTCTGCTTATCTGAATTTGTACTTCTACAGCAACCCTCTCCAGATTTCCTCTGTTCAGGCAGTTAAACCTTGCCTAGGACCATTGCCAATGCAACAGGTGGGTTTCTGGCAGTTTCCAAAATGAAGCACGCAGTACTTAATGCTAGAGGCCACACAAACTATTCAGACAGTTACTACTGTATAACAAAGCAAAATACCCGAGTCCTGTTTTTATCCCAGACATTGATATTGTGGCATGATTTCAACAAGGTCACCCAGATTTATTTACTTTTTTGTTTTTCCAAAAGCGCAGATGAGGGGAACTGAGGTTAAAAAAAAATAATAATGTAATTTTGATGAGCACATTGGAGATCCATAGTTTAAAATCCTCCCCTTAGGAACCTGCTATTCATCATTATACTCTATAAACATCTGGATGGGGAGAGCCCATGTGTAAAAGACATGCAGGACATCCAAGTTATTAGCATCAGGCACCATTCATGAGCACAGTTTGAGAAAATTTGATTGATCAGTTGCAGCAATCAAAAGATTTTATGTAATTTTCAGTGGCCCAAGATTGGTCTGTTTATGACCAAATGTATCCATTTGGCATATTCTAGATGCAAGCTTGGATCCTTACATGACAGCCCCTTCTTACCTTATGCTTCTTGGATGTCTTGCTTCATGCATATCCATGGACTCAGTTTAAGAGCATATCTGCTTCACAGGGAGGGGCTTCTAAAGCCTTCTGGCTCATGGGAAAAAAAAAAACAAAACCCAACCCAACACATTCTCCTAGCTGGCATCAAGAGCAGTCACTGCTATTCACTTCCCACATGTTCCTTCTCCTGGGCAAACAATAACCCAGATCAGCCAAAACACAGCAAATTTCTCTTCTTAACGAGGAAAGAAGAGAAGTGAAGAGCAGGGCCAGGGGCCACTCGCAAGCAACAACTCAGAGCAACCTGCCAGGGGCGAGCGTTCTTCAGTCCAAGCTGCGAGAGAAAGTAAAGTATATCAGAGTCTGATCCAAAGTCCCTGGAGGTGAACTGAATCTACTTCAGTCTGCTTTGGATCAGGCATTTTTTAAATCAGAGGGGGATAATCAATAGAAATAGCTTAGTCGGAGGCTAGATGTGTATAGGTCAATTAGAGCCTGTTGCACAACATGAAGCTGCTAAATACTTTGTCTTAATTTCAGTGGAAATCAGATGACATCCTAACAGCAAATGGGGGGTAGATTAAGTTCATTCCCCACCCCCGTTGCAAGAGGCCAAAGAAGAGTTGTCATTGGGACTTCCTACTCAAAACAGAGAAGGGTTTATATTCTCTTTCTGCTTGTTCAAATGCATCGAGTGCAAGGATTCCTCCTACAGTGGTAGGGGCAGCACCTGGTTGTCTCAATACTCCAGTTACCCAGCAAGACCCCTTACAAGTATTACATAAAAGTTACTTAAAAGTAAATAATTTTTTTTGGAAAAAAAAATTTAGTTGGTCTAATAAAAGATATCCTCTCTACCACAAGTTCTGATTACAATTACATAGGCAGTTGCAGCGAGCCTGCCTCAGCTTCCCCTTTAGCACCACTAGCAGCAGCTCTCTACCTGCTCATCTAACACCACCAGCTCTCTAAAGGGATCTCCTTGGTCATAGTAGCATTCAATATACTTTCCCTCAGTATATTCCAGGGCTTGGTAGAAGAACCTAGGTCCATCCATTCCTCTGAGTTTTAGTCCAGAAGCCCTATATGAAGTGGTGTAGAGCAGTTCCTTCACTGCTCAGCAACTTTCTACCCAGCTTCCTTTGAAGATACTTCCTATAACTTATCTTGAGCTCCTCTTCCCCCAGACACCAGCCCGGACATTGTGGGGATTATGGAGACTTGG